CAGATTCCCTCCAGCTGTAGGAATCAATCTTTGTACAGTGTAACTCATTCATGGCACACTGCCTTGATAGTGAGCACACTATTTTCTATTACATATCTTAATAGGACTATGTCTCAATTGTCTTCCTACAATATATTCATTTACCCTGTCATCTACCTTGATCCTTTAATCCACTGCCAAACTACCATCAATAATGTAACCTTTTGTAATACCTAAAAAACACATCAAAGCCTTGGATAATTTGCCCTCATCTGTCTCAGTATTAAATATTTCTCCCTGCTTGATCAAAAACCATGACTACCATATTCTAGCTGGATTTCCATAAGCCAGGCACTTAATTTATTTCAGTTACATTTTAAAAAAAGACTCTGAAAGTGGCTTTTAATTCAAAATTGAAAACTATATCTTTCAGTTATCAAGTAAATGTGTAAATTGTCCAGGATCAACCGGAACATGTAAAATCTTTCTGAATGCATTTTCACGGAGTTTCTGATATAGTTTGTTGTTTTCTTTGTTTTTTGTTAAAAAAATATGGGGATAGTCCAGATTTGGCCCAAAGGCTTAGAATTTCAAGCTCTGCTTTAAGCTCTAAAATCCCTATGATGCTAGAATTAGTGATCACGCCCATTCCCAGCTCTGTGCCTTGCTATGACTGCTGCCAATTGATTACCACCACCTCCTGCCACCATCTTGGCCATCACAACACACATGATAATTTGTATTCTTGAACAAGCTGGAGAACACATATGACATTAAATTAGCAGAAAGGAGGTGAGAAGGATTTCAGCAGGTATACTAGAAATTTGGAATCTGGAGCTCTTTAAAAGTTAAAATAAATTTGCAGTCTGTAAATTAAACCAGATTGATGTTTCACCTGTTAGCTCGGTGATATTGCTTAACATTCTTGAACTTCAGTTTTCTCATACTTAAAATGGAGAGATTGTATGATCTGGATAACTTATCTTTAAGGACTGAATATCATGATGATGAGAGCACCTAGTATTCATTCAGCACTTACTGTGTTCAGGAATTTTGTTATGTGCTTTATGCATATGATCTCATTTATGCTTTAATAAAAACCTCACTATACAAATATTAATGTGAATGCCCCCACATTTACAGACAATAAACTGATGCTCAGAAAGTCTAACTATACCTAAGTGATACAGATGAGTGGTGGAAGAGACTTAGATTTGGGCCTACAAAACTACATCTCTCGGTACTTCATTGATGTCCTCTACTGTATTAGTTTCTTACTGCTACTGTAATAAATCACCACAAATTTTTGTGGTTTAAAGCAACTCAAAATTATTTTCTTACAATCTGAAAGTCAGAACTCTGAAATGGATCCCACTGTGCTATAATCAAAGTGCTGAAAGGGTGGTGGTCCTTCTGGAATGTGGATGGCAAAGTCCATTTTCTTTCCTATTCCAGCTTCTTTGAAAGCTATCTGCATTCTTTGGCCTCTGGTCCTACTCTATATCCCGAGCCAGAAAAAGCTGCCTGAGTCTTTCTCACATGGTATTACTCTGACACACTCTCTAACTCTAATTAGTTTGCCTCCATCTTCCACATTTAAGGATGCTTGTTATTATAATGGGCTCACCTGAGTAATCCAGGAACATTTCCTTTAAGGTCAACTGATTAGCAACCTCAATTCCCCCATGGCATGCAATATAACATATTCACAGATCCTGGGGATTAGGAAGTGGACATCTTTGGAGGATCAGTATTCTACCTACTGCATTCATTGATTACACAATACAGTATAATATAATGTAGCATAGTAAATATGTTTAATGAGCATTTATTGTTTTTGTTTCCTCAGCATCTTTTCATCTAAGTTGTGTTGCCTCGCTTTCATCTCTATCTCTTACAGGTATATTTTTACTGTTGCTGCTGCTAGTGCTTTTATCAGTCACACAATTCTGCCCCTTACAGACATACCAGGGGGCATAAGTGAAAATAATAATGCAACAATGTAGACCCAGTTTTGCTTCAAGGGATGTGAACATGACCAAGGCAGGTCAATCAGTCTTTCTCTGGGAACTGAGATTGAAGGGCAGCTTCCTCTTTTCCCCTGGGATTATGAGCCATAATGCTGTGACATTAACATGCTGATGGTCATTTGATGCATGCACTCCTCCCCCCAAAATATATGGAAACATCTAAGAGAATGGAGCAAACAGACAAGTAAAAGGCCAGTCACAGCCAAGAAATGGAAATTGGACCCTTTTTCTATTCAACTTTCATAATTCTCTTGGCCCTATAAGAAATTCCACACCTAGATTTCAGAGGCTACATCTGTAAGACAGTAATTTCTGCTATTTTGCTTCAGCTAGCTTCAGTGGGATTTATATCACTTAGCATAAAAAGCCATACAATAATTTTTAAAGTATTTCTTGCTTCCTGTGTGCCAATTTTGTTTTCTCCATTACATTGTAACACTTATGAAATCAGAGTTCATACTACAGTTTTGTGGACTTCCTCCTTTACAAAAGACAGAACTCTTATTTTTTTATTTATATGTCCTCCTAAATGTCATTAGATACAAATAGATACAAATAAAACAAAAGTTATATCCATGCATTTTTAATTTTGGCATTTCTTAAACTCTATTTGTAAAATCTATGTTGTCCAAGTATGAAGCTTATATAAGTTATGATCTCTTGAAAGACAGAGGTCTTAAAAATAAGCAGTATATTGCATGTGTTACAGAACTGTCAGGAGCACAAGAACAAGAGCAAAAATTGGCAGAAATTTCTCTAAATGCCACAGATATTTTACTGTTCTCAAATTAGATTGACAGAATTTTGGAAAGGGACATTTACACTGAATAATAATAAACAGTTTTAAAAGGATGCATAAAAATAGAGAAATGATAAAAATTAACTTAAAAATATCTTTTCATTCTTTCAGTGCATTTTTACAAATCCTCCCTCTGTGTGTGTGTGTGTGTATGTGTGTGCGTGCAGCACAAATCTAATGGCAGCCAAGAGCTAACAACAATGACTTCTGTACAAAGAGAATGAATGCACTGACCAACTGGATGCACAGTACAGTAGTATTATATCTTTTCATCAGCCTTACATAACAAAGAAAACATTTGATTCTTTCAAAAACTGTTTTCAAGCTAATTAGTACATTTAAACAAGTCCAATTTCCTTGAGTGGCTTTTTGATGCCTAGATTCCGAGTGTGACATGCCAGGGACAGGTGTAGGTGTTTTACATCCACTAGCCAATGTAATTCTCCAACAGTCCTATGAAAGGTGTTTGTACTAGGCAGAATTCTAGAGCTGCTCAACCCTAAAAGCCTCTTATCCCCCGATTTTACAATGAAACTCTAATCTAGGTACTTCTCTGTAGGGATTTTGCAGATGTAATTAAAATCACACATTTTAGGGGTGGGGATTTAGCTCAGTGGTTCTACCGCCTGCGGCGCAAGCACAAGGACCCGAGTTCGATCCCCGATACAAAAAAAAACAAAAAAAACCCCCCAATCATACATCTTTACATTGAGAAGTTATTCTGGATTGTTTAGATATCCCTAGTCTAACCATCTGAACCCTTAAAAGCAGTGATGTGGGCCGGGGATTTAGCTCCGTGGTGCTGTGCCTGCCTGGCAAGCACAAAGTCCTGAGTTTGATCATCAGTACAAAACAAAATCAGAGAGATGTGGCAAAAGAAGGCAGACAGAAATAATACAGAAGGGAAGATCAGAAAGCCAGTGGAAGATGTACTCTGTCATTATTGCCTTTGAAGACGGAGGTACGGAGGACAGCTGAAGGAATGTGGATGGTTTCTAGAAGCTGAAAATTTGCATTTAAAACAGCAAGGAAGGGCCGAGGATTTAGCTCAGTGGTTCGGACGCCTGCCTCGCAAGCTCAAGGACCCGAGTTCGATCCCCGGTACCAAAAAAAAAAAAAAAAAAGAAAGAAAACCAGCGAGGAACGGCAAAGAATTCAGTTCTGCTAACAACTTGAGTGAGTCTGAAAATAGAAACCCCCTCCCTGGCCCCCACGCCCCGATCCTCAGTAAGGGGGATCATTTTGTCACTACCTCACCATTGCAGCTCTAGCGACTAAAGACATGATCACGAAATTTAACCACAGACCTTGATTAGATTCAAGTTTTGAGCGGGACAGATAATTTTCAAGAATATTGTTGAAAAGAATGGGGAAATTTTAATTTACTCTAATGAGATAATTGTATTTTATCAGTGTTAAGTGTCCTGATTTGTGCCTATTTAGTAGCATTTCTTTCTTAGAGGATAGGATATGTGCTCAAGTATTAAAAGATGAAAATTCCTAATTAGTATGTATGTAGGCAGTAAAAAAAGAAATGTGCAAAACCTTTTTGAATATTGATTAAGGGCATAGGATTGTTTATTGAACTCTTTTTGCAACTTTCCTGAAAGGATTTTCAGATTTTTTAAAATACAAAGTTGGCAGTGAAAAAAATCACTCTATTCTGTGTAGAACGCAGTTGAGGTAAGAGAGAAGAGGGCTGAGAAGGTATTGCTGTAGTCAAGTTCAAGATTGGAGTAGGATGGTGCCAGCGGAGACAAGGCATCTTCCTTCCCCTTTTTCCCCCACACATAGCTAGGCCAGTGAAGTAAATCCCAGTGACAACAGCTCTTCATATAACCAAAGCTCTCACAGGCATCTCGCAGTAAGGAATCCCCAGTAGCAGTTGTGGTTGACCAGTTGTTTTCAAACTTGCTCAATGGATCAATCCCTCGCGCTGTCACAAATTTGCGCTTGCGCGGAGTCCTGGTCTCCGGATTGAAAGCGCCACCGCTACAGTTTAAAATGGGGGAGGCAGCGTCCTAAATTTAACTATTCCTTCCCCTTCACAAAGTATCTTCTAAGTGTTCTGCCTTTTCTCCTACATTACTCTCACTGATACTGAGTATCGCCATAGAATTGATGTGTAATTGAGACAAAAGCTGAGTTACATAAAGATATTTGTATCTCTTCTCCCCCTCACGTCTGCCACGTGCGCGGGGCCACCAGGGGCCGGAAGTGGAAGTGGAGACGGAAGCGGAAGCATTGTCTAGGTGGGGAATCCGTGAGCGAATCTGGAGTAGTGCTATGGATGGGCCCGGACTTAGGGAGCCGATGCTGGATGCTAAATCCGAGGTAAGTCTCTGCAGAGAAGAAAAAGGGGCAGCGGGGGTCTCGCTCTTGAAAAGTCCTTCCCTAAATTGTGCTTTCTGCTTCCGTTTCAGGTCACCAACCAGGTGAGTAAGAGGCTGCCCGCCCTGTCCCCAGCCGGCTGCCACTGGCCTAGGGCGGGCGGCAGCACCGGCCCGCCTCCCGCAGCTGGAGGACGGTGCCATCGTGAGCCTTGCCCAGTTTTTCCATTTCATCACTTGTATCCACAATCCCGTGACTTTCTGCCCTGCTCCCTGTATTGCTGCTAATCCTTTACACCCGAGATGTGGCCACTGCCTCTGTAATTTTAGCTCCGCCACCTACCCGAGCCCCGAGTGTACAGACTACTGTTTTTCCTTACTTAAGTAACCTTTATTCGAAGGTGAGAATGGATTATTTTTGAATGTGGTGGAAATATAAGAATTTAACAAAATTTACAGAGATAATACTGGAAATTTTTCTTGCTCTTTTAAGAGTTGAAGATGGAATATACCTTTGTAACCTTTCAGAGTACTACTTTTTATGCTAGGAATAAGAATTTCACTTTGTAAAGTATATCTTAGTCTCCTTTCTTGTTTCAAGTGTTTTTGCAGCTATTTTTAGGTAAGTAGTTTAAAGTCCTCTTTTAATAAGAGTCCTAAAGCTAGAATATTTTAGGCCAGGAGTTATGGAAGTTCATACAAAATATAAAAAAGTGCTGAGTTGAATAATGAGAATACAAAGGTTGAGAAGGGTGCTCATTGACTGCTGTCTCCAAACTCATCTAGCTGCTGCTTTGAGGATTCTGGGAGGTAGGGGAACAGAGAGAGGGGGGGAGGGGGGAGGGAGAGAGGGAGAGAGAGAGAGAGATCAGCCACTTTGCCCAGAGTTACATGAGTTAGTGCATAAATCGTCTGTTTACTTACCGGGGACAATCACAAAATATAGTGAATATGTAAATTTTTAAAATTTGTTACAGTAAAAGACATATTGCCATTTATCCTCCTCAGAATACTTCTTGTTTAGAATACACTTACCTCATCTTTCTTGCCATTTTCTGAAGCAGTTCTGGATGACCTCTTTCCTGTCTTTAATTGTGCTGTCGTGGGTGCCTTGATGTCCAGAATCAATTCATAGTGTTTTCCTTGCATGGTCATGCTGATTTTTTGGGAAAAGCCAAAAATTGCATGCTGCCAAATCTGGTAAATAAAGTGGATGAGGACACACCAGAATGTTTTTATTTGACAGAATTGCTGCAGTTGTTTTGAATTGTTTTTTTTTGTAGTTCAAACACAGAGTTGGAATATATTATTTTAAACAAGATTACACAACATTAAGAAATAAATTATAACCTATCTTCCAATAAATGTAACAAAAGATGTTTTAAACTTTAATGGAGAAAATTATAAAAAGCAATAGACTTCTAGTTTCTGGTCCAACATGTCAGGTGCTTGGAAGTTACTGCTTTGTCCTAACAAGAACTGAACAAACTGAAAAAATCAGCAATTTTTAGAACTGTTAGAAAACAAGATCACAGGGCAACATTAATTTGGTAGCAAAATGTATCTGTCAATCCGCAAGTATTTTTTAAGTGCCTGCTGTGTACCAGACACCTCCTTAAGCTTTGGAGATAGACACAATCTTGTATTCACAGTCTTGTTTTAGAAGAGCTGCATTTATCCAATCCTGTTTTATGCCGTGGCAGCCCTTAACAGTCACAGAGGGCCAGGGATTTAGCTCAGTGGTTCCAGTGCCTGCCTCGAAAGTGCAAGTTCCCGAGTTTGATCCCTGGTACCAAAACAAAACAAAACAAAACAAATCAGTCACAGAAACTGAAAAATATTGAGGTAGCCAGTAGTGAATAAACATGTAATCTTTAGTGTCAGACTTTGGCTTTTATTCTCATTCCAGAAATGTGTAAACTTGTGCACATTACCTTAACTCTCTGACACTGGGATTTGTCATCTGCAAAATGGAAATAATAACCTATAATGTGATGATGATTCAAGCAGGCATTTAATGCATGTAAACTTCATAACATATCACCTGACATGCATTTATCATGAAGACTGATGAAATCTAAAACCACCTTATGCTAATGTGAAGTTTGAGCTTGAGGTCCATGGTGAGGAATGAAACTGGAATGGTTCCTACATGTTCCTCAACCAACTATGAAGATCACTTACCCATCTTCCATTCCAGGACTTAAGGCACATGGAATGGGGAAAGGCATGTGGAACAGGAAGGTGAGGTAAAAGATACTCTAAAGCATTTGGAGTCCTCTCAAGTGCCAGAGCAAAATTTAAGCTTGTTAAAAAACAGAACTGTTGGGCCAGGGATTTAGCTCAGTGGTTCTGGTGCCTGCCTCGAAAGTGCAAGGTCCTGAATTTGATCCCCAGTACCAAAAAAAACAAAACCAGAAAACAGAACTGTCACACCTTCTACTTCCATTATATAGCTGACTATAG